CTCTCTCCTCCCCCTCCCTAACTCCTTTCTTCCCTCTGTCATCCTTCCCTTCTCTACTTCCCCTTCCTCTCTCCTTCTCCCACCATGAGGAAATATGATAGCAGTTTATGGCTAAGTGTGCAAGAGGAGGTGGGCCTGTTTTCTTTGAAAAGAAGTGGCCTAGAGAGTTGAAATTAAATGGAGATTCGGGCTCAATATAAAGAATTATCTAATGGCACAAGCTATAAAATAGAGAAACACAATGCTAGATGCCCCCTATCTGTATGGATAGTCCCTCATTTCACTTAATTAAGATTCAAGCATATCCTGGTAGCTTCATTTCCGTGCCACATTCCAAGAAACTGCATAGAGCCAGATACTCTTCAAGGACTTCTGAAAGGTCAATAGGGTTGGGGCCATGCTAATCTCATGAGGAAGGAGAGCAGGGGCTATGACAGAAAAGGCATGTCTCCTGGTCCCTGCTAAACAACATTTCTTGCTGATTGGGTATGTTCTATGCCCATCCTGGCAAACAGGATTGGACAGATAGAGACAACTAGAAGAAGCCTGGTCCCAAGCTACGGAGGGCTTTAAAGGTGACAACCAATATATTGCACCTGGAAACACATTAGCAATCAAATGCAGCCCCTGAAGTAGTAGTGTTACATGTGCACAATAGCCAACACCATTTGTTTGTTTATTTCCTGCCTTCACTGTTTTTTTTATAAATAATTCAAGGTGTTTACACTTGCAAGTACATTCTGTACCAATTGAAGCTTAGGAATGTTCTTCAAGGACAGCCTTATGTAGAGTGCGCTGCAGTACTCCAAATGGGAGCTCATGAGGGCAGTGGCGATGAGCAGACCCTCTCAGTTCAGAAATGGGCACAACCAGGACACAACCTGAAGTTGTTTTCATACCTTTAATTGGTATATAAAGCATCCTCACATTGGATTCAAAACATCCTTCCTATCTTGAAAGCAAACAGCTTTCGCAGCTTGTAAACAGAATATGATTATTTCACAATCGATATGTGTGTTGTTTTATAAAACAACATAAGGAAAAAAGATAAAATCTAAAGATATTACAAAAGCATTCTCTGATATGGAGATAATTAGTTTCATGAATTGGATGTCACTGAATTCATAGCATTTTTTTTCTTGTACAGTTTATTTTTTCTTCATTCAAACATTCTTGTGTTAGTCCGTAAGGGTGGCCCGGATTACGTAAGAGCTGACTTACATAAATCTAATTTGATGCAAATGTCTACATAACCTATATCAAAAATGTTAAAGATGCATAATAATTCACATTACTTAGGCAATACAAACTAAATGAATATTATGGAGTGAGTTTGTAACAGAAGCTGAATTTCCACAAGGCAAGGCTTCTTCATGCTAGTATGGTTGCCTTGTGAATAGATATTTCTGTTGTAATTTTTATGTTGTTTCTGTCTTAACTGAGCTGCAGGGTTTTTTTGGGGGGGAGGGGAAGAGAATTGATCCAATTCCAATTTATGCAAAGTTATATAAGTACCCAAATGAAGCAGTTAGATAAGTTGGACAGATTTTGTAATTCCTTTAGCCAGGTTATAATAAAAATTCAAGGCCTGAAAGGACAAATGTGTAACTAAAATTATGCATAAAAAGTAACTCATATGTTTGAAGCATTTACCTTTGCTCCTCTGTTGTTGTTTTTTAAAGAGAGGTTAGAGTAATTTCTCCTTTCTTTGGTCTATTAGCCACCAGAATGTTAAACTTTGATATTCTTTGTCATACGATGGTTATTCTGTTTTTGGTTTAAATATCAAATCAGTCTAATTTACCATCTCTAGTGGAGGAATCCAAATTTAAGAGTCTGCTGTTTATAATTCCTTTTATACTTAAGTTAAAAATGACAACTTAAAACTGGACCAAATATTTATTTAAACTCCAATTGTTCCTGACAACTTCTTAGCAACAGGACCCAAACAATTCCCCAGCAAACAACTATTTAAGCGCTTATCACATTTACAAAAAGAATTTTATCCCAATAGTTTTATTTATAATTAGTAGCCCACTTATCCAAGCTTCTGCTGTGTTATTCTCTTGAAAGCCTAACACATTAATTACAGCATATATATTTTTAATACTGTGGATTTTTAAAAAGTCTCTTAAATGCTTTTATATATGAAAATTAGTATCAGTTTACAACATAAAGCATATGATATATGCAGTGCAATTTGAGAAACAGATCTGTATACTAGGGAAACAAAACAAACACTTCACGAATGCAAGGCACAACATAGGAGAACAAACCTATCAAGACAGGATTCAGGAGTCCATCTGCATCTGAAAGACAAAGTCACTCTTTTTAAAACAACTATTTCACATTCTGGACAGAGAGGACCACTGGTTTGAAAGAGGGGTCAAAGAGGCCATCATGTTAAAATTGAACAGTCCTCTCTCAACAGAGGGGAGATGATATGACACCAGTTATCTCATCTACAACACAGTCCTTTCAGTAGTCCCAAGAAGGTTCCACACCCATTGGTACTCTGATTCAGATGACCTTGTGGGTACAGATAAAACCCCAAGTGGTCTCAACTGACTTTCAGAGAGCTAACAATCATATGGCTGCAAAGATTATGAATCCTTCCATTCTCCACCTGTCAGTCAGAACTGAAGAAACTTCTTCAATGAGAAGCAAAATGTTTTCAAAGAAAAAAACAAGAAAGTTCAGTTGCCTTTTGGGGGGGAAGAACACTTTTGGGACAACATGACCTGGATGATTGAGAATTTCCACAGACATAAAGCATATATAAATACACCAATCAGAATGATAACTTATACTGTAAAGATGAATTTCCAATTCAAGAGTTTCTTTAAAAAATTAGTACAAATGCATTAAGAGGAAACTGCATTAGATAATTAGCAGTTTCAAGACATTTCCTCAAAGTCTTAGTTTGTTAATAAGTTAAAAGTTGCAACTGTGGAGATGAAAGTTAAACCATTGACATGAGAGCAAAACAAAATCTGAAAGTAATCTGATTGTATTGCGAAAACACATTCAAATACTTTACTAATAAATACAGTACAGTAAGTTCCCCCGCAAAAGTTGGAAATGTGATAGAGGCCTTGGTTTATTTATACAGTTAAGTACTACTCTTTAAAAAGCCATGATTTTGTTCATAATACTAAATACTAATACTAAAAATATGTTAAGGAACTGATCATGGCTTGGTTCACAGATTATAATGGGAAATGTAACATATTCTAATCTAAAATCAAATCCCATTATAGTTTAGCAACATGGGAACCAAGACTGATGATAAAATGGCTGTAAGGCTGCAATCTTACTGGTGCTAAATTTTAAAAACTGAAAACATGCACAGGAATAAAATCCTTTTGCATTTTCATACAAACTGCCTGCTTTTTAAAATTAAAAAGGAACAGGACTAAATCTTCTCTAATCCAATACAGTGTACCAAGAATAAGGAGGTTTAAGGATGTATCCTGCAGTTCCCTTGTCTAACTGCGAAAGTAATCAGACAATCAAAAGGCATGTTAAAAATTAATTAGAAAAGCTACCTGGCACCTTTCATAGCTGAGTTGTGAAACTGACTAGAGAAATTTGTCGTTTATAAATACTAACACCCAGCATATTAGAACGGATTGAAAAAATACTGGCTAAAAAGAGTTGGCGAGGAAGGGTGGCATAAAGTCCTCTACCCTTCGACCCCGAATCCCGAAACAAAGCCTTGTTGAGGTGGGAAACCGACCAAGCATCTCGCACTCAACAACCCATAAGGCGAATCCCCCTGGCTCCGCGCAGAGGCGGGCTCGCACAACATGCAGCCCTTCCCCGCCTTCAGCTCCAGGTTTTTCAGACCCCGAAAGATCCTCGGCGCTTTGGGGCTTCTTTCTCCCCATCCCGCGCAGTTTGGGAAATCAGCCGAGATTGTAGGAAAGGAGGTCGAGAGAAGAGCGGCCGAGCCGGCCTCCTTGTAGCCCTGGGAAACCGGGGCGGAGAAGGGTAGGAGGACCAGAGGCTGAGCGCTTCGTTTTAAGTCAAAACAAAACAAAACAAAACAGGCAGACGCTGTTTTGTTTCATTGGTAGAGAAGGCTGCAGAGACATACACTCCCCCGAGATTAAATTACGATTTAGAACAATTTTTATTGTCACTTTGAATGTACACTAGTGGCCATTATATTAAAATGGAATTTCGTTGCATACAGCTCTCAAAGGGTCACCACTATACAATATACACTACATCAACATGACTAAATAAATACACATTTCTGCATATACCCCACATATATTATATGGCACAGAGAATCAACAGACTAGTTCGTATGTACTTGGCGAGATTAAAGCCCAAGTACAGACACAATGGTATCAAAAAGAAGTTACGGAAAGGTGTTTGAATGTTATGTACTACGCGACACACACACACACACACAC